ATGAAAGGAGAGGCGGGGCGACTCCAAGGAGGGGTGATATGGAGGATTTTCAAGAAGCAATACAGGTAGCCAATCTCGCTAAAGTGAATTTTGACGGCTTACAATTTACTTGGACTAACGAGCGGGTCTGGCAGAGGCTAATAGAGTCCTAATTAACAGTGCATAGAATTCAGCTTTTGGTTTGGTTTGCCTCTCACATCTTGCCAGAGGTAGATCAGACCACTCTCCCTTGTTGATACGATCCTCTAATATAGCAGGTGGTAGGAGTACTTTTCGATTTCTTAATGTATGGGTTAAGTACCCAGAATTTCAAGATGTGATTCGATAGTCTTGGACTCAATCGATTAATTCGATTGGTATGGTAGCTTTCTTTGCTAAGTTGATGCGGTTGCGACGATGCTTAAAGGAGTGGAATTGGCATAAGTTCGGCCATATCGATCAGACTCTAAAAGAAGCGAAGAAGAAGTTATTGTCTCGTCAATATTTGTATGATCAATAGGGAGGTGACAAGCTGCGGAGTAGTCTCAATGAGGCTAGAGCAAACTATACTCGACTTCTTACCGTGCAACAGGAATTCTAGCAGCAAAAAACAGCTATCAAGTGGTTGCAACACGGGGATGCAAATATAGCATACTTTCATGCTGTGGTGCAGCAGCAGCGTAATATGAACTATATCGGCTGTATACAATGTGAGGATAGAAGCTGGATAGAGTCTGTGCCCAAAATACAGAGCTCAACAATTCAATTTTTTGGTGCCTTGTTTGGATACAGAAATGATGTAGCTCCCCTAGCCAGCAGCATAGGGACGAGATGGAGTCAATGCCCTCGAAGGAGGAGATAAAGGAAGCCGTGTTCGCTATTGACAAGAATAGTACAGTGAGACCGGATGGATTTTCATCATTGTTTTACCAGTGTTGTTGGGACACCATCAAAGAGGACCTAATGGGGGCAGTAAAGGACTTTTTCTTAGAAGACACTCTGCTTAAGAGGTTCACAAGTACCATGATAACTCTTATCTCAAAAAAGCTAGGCGCAATAAGATGGTCAGAGTTCAGACCAATCAGCCTTTGTAATGTGAGCTCCAAAATTCTGTCAAAAATTCTGGCTAATAGGATTAATAAGGTGCTACCTCACCTAATCTCACCTTTGCAATCGGGATTTGTATTTGGGCCTCATATTGAGGACAATGTTTTGTTGGCCCAGGAGTTGCCAGCTGACATTAGTAGGAAGCTGAAGAAGCCGAAGGTTGCCCTTAAGTTGGATATGGAGAAGGCGTATAACAAGCTGGACTGGTCATTTCTAATGTCGATGCTCAGAGCTTTTGGTTTCGGATCATGGTTCATCGACTTGGTGTACCGGGCTCTCTCGAACAATTGGTTTTCCATCTTGATAAATGGGGAGCAAACAGGTTTCTTCAAATCCTTTCGTGAGGTTCGACAGAGAGATCCCTTGTCCCCGGCTCTGTTCATTATAGCTGCAAACTTTTTAACTCGTGGAATTCAGCATTTGTTTGACAATGGGCGACGCATGTTTTACAAGGCCTCTAGCGGCCAAGTCCCTATGCTGGCGTTTGCAGATGACACTATGATCTTTACACGTATTTCGTGGCATGGGTTGGGGAGAGTAAAAGATTTTCTAGAGCTTTATCAACGTGTTTCGAGTTAACGGATTAATACCTCAAAGAGTTCTTTCATTTGCTCTCACACACTGCTAGTCTCGAAAGACCATCTTGTTAGCTCTATCTTTGGCTTTCGTAGAGAACAGCTTCCTATTAGATATTTAGGGGCCCCCTTGTTTGTGGGACGGTTGAGACGGAGGTTATTTGACGGGATTCTAGACAAAGTGAGAGTCAGGATACACAGTTGGAGTTGCAAACTTTTGTCACATGGGGGAAAGGTGATTTTACTTCGGCATGTGTTGGCTTCCATACCGATATATTTGTTATAGGTGTTGGCACCCCCAAAGGTCATTGTACTTGCATCTGCTAAATAGCTTTCTATGGGATCATGCAGTGGAGCACCGTCGAATACACTGGAAATCATGGCAATGTCTTTGCTATCCAGTGGAGGAGGGTGGCCTGGGTTTTAAGGATTTCACAGTGATGAGTCAGGCGTTTGGGATGAAGCTATCGGTAAGGTTGCGTAAAGGGGACTCACTATGAGCACAGTTCATGCGACAAAAGTATTTTAAACACGCATACCCGATGCTGGCGGATGCAACAAGAGGCTGTAGTATCTGACGGAGAATTTTCTGTATAAGGGAGATCGCCGATAAACAGATTTTTTGGCAAGTTGGGAAGGGGAAAATTGACTTTTGGAGGGATAAGTGGGCTTTGAAGGCGCCTGTGAGCAAAATTTGTGGCTTGGAAAATTACCCTCAGTAGCTTGTTGCGGTTTTCTTTCACGGAAGGGAGTGGGATATACGAAGGTTGGAAGAATGGGTGCCTTCATATGTGCTTAAAGCAATTCTTGCAGTGCAGTTTCAGCCTTCTTGTAAGGACACTTTAGTATGGAACACCTCTTCTTCAGGGGAATTCTCAACTAAATCGGCTTATGAACTGGTTCGGAAGAAATGTTGCTCCTCGCTGGTATTGCAAACGGTTTGGAATCCGATGGTACCATTGAAAATATCCTTTGTGGCTTGGTGAGTGTTGAACAATTCATTACCACTGGATTGTACTTTGCAGCAGCGTGGGATTGCCTTGGCATCTAAGTGTCAATGTTTCTCCGCGACGGAGACTACTCACCATGTTTTTTTTTTTTAGAATGCGGTGGCCACTGAGGTGTGGCGATATTTCCACTTCTTGTTTGGGATACCTTTTTTATAGCACTCTTGTCTTAGTGTGGCTATTAGGCACTGGGTAATGTCGACTCCTAGTGGTCACTTGCACCATATCAGAGGTATTGTACCGTTACTTCTTGTTTGGTTTGTTTGGCATAGGAGGAATACAGCACGGTTTGAAGGGGTTACGATGGATGTCGGATACATCATTAGTGAGGTGATGTGTCTTTTAAAGCTTTTGGGGGATGCCAACATAATCAATAAGAAACAGATGCTGGGTGATTCGAACTCGGTTATCGCACTATTTTGTCGTTTCAAGCAGAAGCAAAAGAAAGTGTGTATAGTCATAAAATGGACAGTGCCAAAGCTTACTTTTGTGAAACTCAACACTAATGCCAGTCTCAGGAATGGGATGGCGGTAGGAGGCGAAGTTCTTCATGACCATCAAGGGAAGGTTATCATGGCCTTTTACAAAGAGTTCGGAGATACGCAGGTGCTCAAGGCTGAGTCCTGGGCTCTGCTCCATGGCTTGGAGATATGCCGCTGTGTAGGATCTTGTCGAGTGGAGGCCGAAGTGGATTCAAAGACGCTTTATCAGTTGGTGATATCAAATAGACCGGCTACTTGGCCCCTTTGCAATATCAGTCAACATATAAGGACCCTGTTAGGAAGCCAAACTAGGCAGGTGCGTCACATTTATAGAGAGGCCAATGCAATTGCTGATGCTCTGGCGGGCTTCTCGGATAGGGGTTAAGGAATGTTTGACTCCTTCTCTAAATTGCCTTGTCATATTCAACTACTGGTTAACTTGGACAATGCCATCTACGTAGGAATTCGACGTGTGCATGTAAGGGAGGAGCGCTCCCAGTTTTCTACTTAAAAAATAATAAAAAAGAATGCTTTAAAAAAATATATATTGCATAGGTGACATATTAGAGCATCTTCTCATAATGTTCAACTTGAATGGTTTGTGATGTTATAAAATATTTAATCAAAGGTTATTTCTTATGAAAAAAAAAATACATAGGACGCTCTAGGCATATTCTCTTTTGTCAGCTAAACTTGCCCGTTAACTTGCAGAGGAAGGGGAGAAACCAGAACTATTGGCAGAATCACCTGCAAGGAGAAAGTGCGATGCACAAGATTCTGGATATTACAATTTTTCTTTTGGCTTTTTTTTTCTTCCGCTTTCTCTCCCTCTTTCCTTTGTTGTGTTTCTTCAACTACTATGAGTTTTTTTTTAGTGCATTTAAGAATTTGGTGGTTGAGAGAGTACTGTTGGGCTCAAATTAAGTACAATACTACCAATAGTACCATTTTTGCAGCAATTTAGTCACGGTGGATGGAGTGGGATGTTAGATTTTATTGTTATAAAATTTTTCATACTCTTTGATGGAATGGTTTTATTTATTTTTTTTCTTTGGGATGCTCAAGTCTTGAAATGTCAAATGCAATTATTAGTTTCCAAGTCTGTGTTGCATTGCGTTATGGGAGATTTAATTTAACGTTGCTTGTGTAAAACCAACCAATGTAATTCAGCTTTCATAGTACAATTATTATTTGGCACAAATGAACATTTGCTTGCTTATATCATCATTAACAAATGCGCATCATAAACTTTTTGTTTCCAATTTGCATCACCAAAAGATAGGTCCTAGACTCGTTTCAACAACCAATCTATTTTGATATTATATGTCCACTAGATATTTTCCTATTACATATTTGTAACGAAACGCCTTTCTGCTACTAATAACAAATTTGGCCCCTTTATGACATATCCACCTTGATTCTGGAAAGCACATACTTCTTCCTACTACTTCCCTCAAGTGGCCATTGGGCTTTCTTCTGATTGGGATGAAATGGTAACAAGTGCCAAACACACTCATCCACATAGCAACAATACCAAAAACTGAAAACTAGAAAGTACAAGAAATAAGTGTACTAAGCATGGCAAAATTTTAAAAATTAAAAATTAAAAAAAAATTCTGCATACAGGTCCATTCTCTGCTTTGTTTCTCAAGCCTTGGCTACCATAATCTCTATCAAGGAAGTCCATGTTCCGTGGACAGCATATACTAAACCCGGTGCTACAATTGCCATATCCAGAGCCAAAACCCTGCCTTGTGCACAATTCTTCCTTGTGCACGATCAAGTGAAACAAAGTCGGCAAAACAAAACCCAGAATGATGCATACACTGCTCCCAATCAGAGACAAGAAATCAGCAAAATTTGGCACCAGGAGAGCCACCAACGTCACTCCCAAAACCGTGACCCATCTCATCCACAAAGCAATACCTAGCTTCACAGAATCTCCTCTCCGCCACCTCATAAACAAGGTTCATCATCAGTAAGAAAGTAAAGAATAGGTTAATGCGCAAACCCAACTGAACAAGGCTGCTCAATAGTCCCTGCCCAAAATTGGTCGTGATTATAACTTTGGTCTCTTCACTGAAAGCAAAATACCCCAAAATTCCAATTCCTCCATACATTAAGAAGATGAAGCCACTGCCCAGCCCAGGATTCTCACAAACTGCTGCTTCTCCTTTGCCTCTGACTCCAGCGGCAATACCATTTCGATCCCTTCAAAAGCATAAACCACCACCCAAATAGGTCCAATACAAAAGTAATCCCAAAAAAGGCCCAACACAAAAAAATACATTCCCTAGGACATACTGTTGACCCGTCCTCATTTGGACATCCATCCATCCATCCATCCATCAAACTATTCCCAAAAAAAAGGAAAACAAAAACAAAAAATGTCGATGTTGAACTTCAATTCTAAAAAAAAAAAAAAGTAATATCAGTTGATAATATAGTGACTTTGGTAATAAAATTGATAAGTTACAGTGTCATAGCCTGTCCTAGTCATCAATGTCTGGAAAAATCAAATTTGACATCCTATAGATGATAAACTGTCTCTCCCTCTCTTGTATGTTTCATTATGAATTCCAAAATTCTAATTTTTGTCCTTTTTCGTAAGTCAAATCAAGCCCCAGAAATGATGTGTTACAATTTTGATAGCGTTGCCATTGTCTCAAGCAGTAATTGTAAGAACACATTGGCTGGCAGAATTCGTGAGTGACCTATTTTTTTACCCTTTTTTATTACTTTATTTCATTTTAGAATTTTGCGTAATTTCTATTTAAAGATTCTGGAGTAAAGCCACCATTTTGTGGAATTTTATTTAACAATAATTCTAATAAAATTCTAAACACTGAAAATTCTATCATGCGCTACTTTCAAGGAAGTCCATGTTCCGCAGACGCAAATGCTAAACCCAGTGCTACAATTGCCACTTCTAGAGCCAAACCTTGCCACCCCAATTCTTCCTTGTGCACGATCAAGTGAAACAAAGCCGGCAAAACAAAACCCAGAACGATGCATACACTACTCCCAACTAGAGACAAGAAATCAGCAAAATTTGGCACCAGGAGAGCCACCACCGTCACTCCCAAAACCGTAACCCATCTCATCCACAAGCAATACCTGGCTTCATAGAATCTCCTCTCCACCACCTCATAAACGGGGTTCATCATCAGTGGGAAAGTAAAGAATAGGTTAATGCACAAACCCAACTAAACAAAGGCTGCTCAATAGTCCCTGCCCAAAATTGGTCGTGATTATATCTTTGATCTTTGGAGACTTCAGATTGGATTCAAGTCTCCTCTGCGTGTGGACTAAGAGCATCATATAGTGGTACGTGAGGAAGGCTACCGAGGAGAGCATAAGGACGCCCATCGCCCACCCTGTTCTCTTGAATATGTAGGGTAGGCCAAGGACACCTGCTCCCACTATAGCTATGAAGACATTAGCAAAAGTCTTGTTCTGGAAGAGAGATGATAGCCATTAGGGGCGACTAGGGGAGTATCTTCTCTAGGAACGTTCAGGACATACGAGAATGAGCTTGCTTTGTCCTTCTTGAATCCCATAATATTTTTTTTCTTAATTCAAGAATTTATGCTATGAATCCCAACCAATCACACATTTGGGAGGATGAACCCCTACCTAGCATCTGTGAAGTGGTGCAGGATAGATGTCCAGAGGTTGATAACGCGCACGGTCATTGTGAGGCAATGGTCCATCCTGGCAGAATTCAACATAAAGGATTTAATAAATTACATATGATAATCTAACGTTAAAATGAAAAGTCCCTATCACAAAGAAAAATATGCGGAATGTGTACTAGTACAAGGCTGTCAGAATAGCAAATTCATCCTTCAAACACTGTATCACTTAGCACTTTAGAGAAATTAGAAGGCCAATGGTATGGAAATTTTGAAAACGAAGTTAAGTATAAACAGTACTCTCACAGTTCAAAATAACAATTTAGCATTTAACTCGATAAATAACAGCCTTCTGTGACTTGAGAGCTGGACTAGTGACGTGCTTTAGCGGACACTAAAAAACATGGCAAGAAAGGATGTACAGTAGACCCAAATAAACACGTACAAACAGTATCTATATCTAGGCAGAAAGAAAGCAGACATAAAACACCAGCAATATATGCTGCTCTCACAAATCACAAGGATCTCACTTAACACACGTACAGGCTACACCTTGGCCTAACAGGAAGAAAAAATAGCTTTATAGTAATCAGGAACACGAGACTTCAATTTTAAAAAAAAAAAACCACAAACCAAAGATATCAAGTACGTCAAATAATGCAAAACAATTTTGTAGTTTTGTCACCACAATGAAAAGCTGCTGAATCAATTTCCAAAATAATGTATCTAGAAAACATTCTCCATGGTAACAGAAGTGCAAGACATTCCAAGTCAACAAGTTTCTTTGCGCTCAATCACCAAAGCTACATTGCTCAACAAAAGATTGGATGGAGATGAATAAAGATTGTTCAACTGATTATATCTTTGGGCATTGATGTGACATTTAAATAAAAGGCACAAATCAGAGCCAGAGAGACAGAGAAACAGAACCGCATGTTAGAAGATCAAATGCATTTTCCTAAGCTATAATATTATCATAATATTTATCACAAAGATAACAGACGCTTAAGTGACTAAAGCTTCACATAGTACTATTGGCTTTATCAATATAACGAGGAAATACAGAAAGGAATACTACCTCAGCCAAATTTATTTGGAAAGGCTTCACAAAATCTTCAAACATACGTGGCGATTGTCCTCTCATCTTTTCCTCGACTTCCTGAGAACAGAAACAGAAAGCACCAAAAGAGCTAACACCACAATCCCAAATCCTTCTTAGTTTTTCACTAACAAAAGTGGTAAACAAATACTTGAACAAACCTTATCCCATTGCAAATCTAGACACAGAAGGTTTAGGTCAAACAAGAATCCATCATTGAGCAAATAAGAAAGAAACACAATAATTAAGCACTACTTAATTATCACAAAGCACCGCAGAGAAAAATCACCATATAGACAGTTAATATCAAGACTTCCTGCAGGGAATATCTTCTTATAAACTTCCATCCAGAAAAGCAAGTTCATGTAGTTGCAGAGGTGTATACATAGCTGACTTTCCTAGAAAACCTTTGCTAGGTCTGGTCAAACTTATTTTCCTAACATATTGTTCTTTCTTGGGGGTATAGTACGCTGACTAGCCCAATGCAATAGTCAAGAAGGAAACGGAAAAAAATCTGGGAAACATTAATATAAATCCTTTTCTAAACAAAAGCTATTATTCGACATTTATACATACATACACACAAACATACATACGTTCATACATAAATACATAGATCTATGCATAGACTCCAAGACAGCATCTTTTAAGCAATACCAAGAGTACATGTTGACAACAAAGCTTCCTGCAAGAGGGACTTATATTAAATCATGAATGCATGAGGCAGTTAATCAGACTCTTATAAAGTAAATGATCTATTCATGCAGCTCCAAACGTATTTATTCATCAGAATAACACAAATGGGAGAGACAAAAAGAACGAAAAATTAGCCAATAAGGATAATATTTGTTATATGTCTCAAAGCCACAGACGAGAAGAATGAAACGTAAATAGTGACTCACCAATCCAGTTATCCTTGAGTGTTCAAGAAGTTCCTTTGCAATCATGTCTAGTATGTGCCTGTTCTCCATTAATTTCTTCATTGCAAATTCTTCTGTTTCTTCAATGTACTGCAACATAAGAAATTATAGTTTTCACTGAATTTGCAGATATGCAATATATAGAGAAGAAAGTGCATTGGAGACCCTCCTCCTCATATCTGTTTTGCTTGGCAGTGTAATCTGGTTCCACAGAGTAAATCTATAAAATTATTTCACCTTAGTGATGTTATGGGTTTCACTCTCATTTTGCTATGAACAGAAAAAATATCTAGTCATGAAAATTATTCTCATAAAGTTATCCTTTTGTGGTTACATAGTTTCTTCATATCTGGAAAAGTTTAGCTTAAAAGAAAGCTGAAGGTAGTAACAAGAACACAAACTTGAACTCGATTCTCCTTTCCTTAATAGTCCTGGAAACATGTTTGATTTTAGTAGCAGACAAGGATGTTCAAGACTCCCATATCTTCCACCTGCCAAGGTCTATAAATCTAAAGTGGTTTGGATGTGAGAAGTAACTGAATTATATTCTTCACTTATCTCAAACCAGAATAACCTTTATATGAGCAAAGCAATAACCACATTTGGGTGCAAAAAGATTCAGGATGTCTTTCAAGAAACATGAGACCATCACAAAGGGATATGTCCTTCAAGAAACATGAAACCATCACAAAGGGCTATGTCCTCCAAGAAACATGAAACAATCACAAAGGGATACTTCACTTACTCTTGCCAACTCCCTGGTAAATAGTTCAGAAACTTCAACTGTCATATCAGCAGGAATAACATGAGGATCGTCCCACTATATCACCATAACAAGTTGAAGCAGCATAATTAGTTGCTCAGAAAAATTAAGGATGTGATCATGCTTAAGCAAAAGGAATTCCTACAATGAAGCTTAAAATTCTTAAAAAAAAAAAAAAAAGAACTACCTTATATGTAATAAGCTCACGATCAGGATTATCTGGTCTCTCAACCAGTCCAAGTCTTCTTGTCAAAGCTGTAAGCCCCAACCTAGGATTTCCGGGGCTTATCACCATTTCTCGAGCAATCTAAAGGGAAAATGGAAATTATTACCAAGCAGAAGAGATAGGTCCCCATTTAACTCCAAACTAGATACTTAAAAACTAGCCCATCAGTGAAGCAGCTTCTTATCTGCTTTCAGAAATAGATCTGAAACTATTTACTTACCTTTGTAATCTTTTCCAGATCATCTTGTCCACCATCGGTAATATCATCCCCAAATACAATACGTTCAGCACATCGCCCACCATGAGCAACTACCATTTGCATTTTCATGTAGCCAAAGGTTGTATAACCTTGATCAACCATATCTTCTCGAGGATAAAACACAGATATAGCAGTTTCCTTTTCAATAGAACAAGGAACAGTGTTGGAGGCAACTCGGGCAAGATTAAGCGCTATAAATGTTCACAACAGGAGCTGTACCTTGCCACCAGGTAGAAGCTGAGAAAATGCATGCCAATCAAAACGAGGGAACAAGTGTGCCAAGACTATGTGTCCAGCTTCATGTACTGCCAGAAGTCTTTTCTTTTCAAAAGACACCTATTATGTGAACACATTAAACATGTGATGAAAAGAACATCTAGAAGGATCTCAAAATGTTAGCAGCGATACTCTTATTAGTTTGCATGCATAAAATGCTTACATTTTGTTCACACTTCTGCTGCTCTTCCTCCGTGAGAAGCACACCCATACCCTCAAGCAGTTGCTTGTCCAATACATCTACAATGTCTTGCTGGTAGATCTTAGTCTGCCCTTTTCTCACCTGTACAAGTAGTGAAAAAGCCTGTTAGGAGTATTTTGTTCATCATCTGTATGTATACAATACAAGTGAAATAGAAGACAACAATCATATCTAGAGCCAAAGGTCATGAAAAGTTCCAACTGTTGAGAAAGCCTCAACATCTTGAAGATCTTTCTGCATGGATTTAATACGTTGAGCTCACAAAAAAGGGGGGGAGGGTTGGGAAGTAAATATTATATCCGAGTTGCATCTTAAGTTCTCATGTTTAACCAAATATATATCTTGAGATAGACTTTTAAACATCAGCTGCAGTTTAGGAAGGCTATACATTTTGAAACTCAAGATATTTAATTTATCCATTACACAAATAATATCAGAGGATTAAGCCTTGATCTCAATAATCAGGATTTAAGAATTCAAATGCAAAAGGATAAGAGATCTGCCAACAAGTAATCCGCAAAACATGGTGATAAAAACTTTATTAATTCTGCAAGCTTTCTCTTGAACAATAAAACATTTCCATGTTCATTATTCCATTCCATCCATTAAAACAGAGGTCACCAGAATATGTACACAGTAGATCAGAAATATAGCTTGTAAAGCACAGAGATGACTAACTTACCGACATTATTCCAGCTTCATTCACTAGGTTTCTAATATCCGCTCCTGAATATCCAACAGTCCGAAATACAAGCTGCACAAGTAAAGAGACAAGATTGTCACA